CTTCAGACCACGTACAGCCTTTGAATTGTATTCTCCCAAAACGCTTAAATTCAATCCAAAAGTTGCGTTTTTGTGATGATTGATGATGGCATTTGGAGCGACTTACGGAGTGCTGGTTATGCTGCATATAGATTTCATAAATCGCAAGGAACTCGAGAGAGCTTTGCCACATGGACAAAGTCTAGTACCTGTTAAAACAACAAAAGATACACTTGCTGGATCACATAATTTTTAATCAACACATTGATAAAATGAAAAGTAACGCATGAACTTGGCTAATTACCTGTTGAATCTTTCTCCATTTTAAAAATCAGAGAATGAGAATTTGGTTGAGGACAAGGGATTAGAAAGAACTGGAATGAAGGAGTTTATAAAGAGGATTAGAATTGAGAAGATGCATCATTGAATAATATTGATGGAAGTAGTTGTTCGTTTGGTGATAGAAAAATTTATTGATCAATTAACTCCAATACGTATCATTGAACGTGGCAATGAAGGGCGTCAGGAAAAATCCCCGTATCATTGAATGAGGAAGATTGCCCTTGATATAGCGGTTCTCTTTCTCGGTGGAGTTGGTTAAAACCATTTTCAAATTCAGAGTAATTTATGCATGCGGATTAAACCCTAGGCTTACATTTTTCAAGATTTACACGTTACACCTTATTATCTTTTTCTTCTGTACCTTCTACATGTAGTCCAAATAAGAATTTCTCAATCTCCAAAAAGAACAAAAATTAAAGTGTGCTATTATTGTGGAATATATAGTTCATTAAAGACTCATGCCAAACATAGCAATGCAGCTATATATTGAACTCATCCAGACGTCCAAGTCGTCTTCAAATTTTCATCAGTAAAAGAATTTCTACCAAGAAACTGTCATTTATTGTTCCTTGATTCACCACTCCAAAATGCACAGCTTATATTTGATTTCTTAGATAATTTGAAAAGTTTTACGTTGTGTTATCGGATAATTAAAAACACCTCTATTTAAACAAAGGTCTTTTTATTTTTTTAGAACGGACAGTCAATTAACTTATAGACAGTTACATTGATGACATTTTAGAAACATTATTTTACATGCATGGTACTATTACCATTCTCATAACATTAATGTTTTACTTTTATAACGTTACTTATCTACTTACATCCAGAATTGGTGCCAATAGCTCTCATTAAAATCTGTGAAGGGCTTATTCCACAAAAAGTAATTTATTAGTGTCAATACCAACTTTACTTATCACATATAGGGATTTTCTTCTTCCCCTTTTCTTGAAAGGTAGTTACAGTACTACATATCTTGTTCATTATAGTACGTAATTGCCTTAATTTTAATCCTTTGGTCTTCAACCTCTAATTTACAACACCTTGGGCTCCATCTTCTTTTTGACATAATTCACCATTTTTGAAGCCTCAAATCGGCAATCGCCAACTCGGACAACTATAATCGATCGGGTAAAGCTGAAGCAAGCCAGAGTCGAGAATGTATTTTGTGGGTCTCCAAACCCCATCCTACAGCAACTCATCAGCCCAATTTGGCTTCAAGTTTCACAATCGCTTGTCGAATCGTTCTTCCCAAAAAAAAATCACTTCAAGTATCTTTTCCGTGCAATGAGACAAAGCATCGGCTTCCCTGCGCGTGTTTAGTAGTCATCAAATAGGGTAATTGGTGGCAATCGTTTAATCTAGTCAAAGTGATGAGATATTGAAGCATATAGATGTTTTACTCTAGCAAGAAACCCGTGAGAGCTTACACGTTGGGTGCACTGTAAATAGCCTCCAACTCCTCAAACCTAATGATGCAAGAGAAAAAAATTATTAATATATATACTTTGGTCAATTAGATTATTAAGAAGAGGAGCTACAGTAGTAAAAAATCATACAATATCCTACTTACGGTGAAAACATGAAGGGTGCTTGACTTTTGGGTGAGTCAGACCCAAAACTGTAGACCAAAAAATGTGTAGAGTTTAAAAACTGGACAAATATAATGTTCTCGCGCTTTCAAAACGCGAAACAAGAAAATTAAATTAACATTGAAACGCGAATCCTTTTAATTAGCTTTTTCCCAAATTTGGGACGAAAGAAAAAAAATTGAATTAAAAAAGGAAAACCATTTTTCGCGTTTTGGAAACGTGAAAAAAAAAATTTCGCATTTTAAAAATGTGAAAAGCTATAAATTTTAAATTTTAAATAAGTTGCGGGTTGAAAATAACAATTTAGCGTTTTGAAAATGCGAAAAAAATTTTTAGCATTTGAAAGCGCGAAAAATGATTTTAGCGTTTTAAAAACGCGAAAATATCCAGAAAATCTTCTCAACCACTCATTCGGCTCCACGTGTATTTTGATGATAAGTTTTGAATGTATTCGCGTTTTGTAAACGCGAAATTTAAGATTCACATACCAAACCAAGCAAAATAACAGCATTTCTTCCCAAACTTGTTTCATTCTGTTGAGCTCCGGTTTTTCTTCCCAAACTTCTTTCATTCTGTTGAGCTCTGATTTTAAGTTTCACTCCGGAGGACTTGGCTGAATCCGTGAAAGCTCTCATTTCCTTCAAATTGAGAAGTTGCTCCGAAGTTAAAGAAGATTTATTTAAGTCCGGAAGCCTATTTAAAATCCTAAGTTTCAACATTCAAGTAAGTTTATTTCGTTATAGAAAACATGTACTTTTTTATGCCTTATTGTGAGCATAGGATGATTTACGCATTATTATTAGTTAATAAATAATTGTGATTTAGTCAATTAACGGTAGTTTTTTAATTAGGCTGATAAAGTGAATTGAAAGAAATATTAGTTAATAGAATGTTAAATTAGATGAGCTTTGTAAATTATTGTATATCGATTTCTGTAAAATAAAATAAAATTATAATAATGATATTGAATTTTTGAATATTTTTAGCATAAGAATAAATTATGTAATTCGGGCATAAGGTTTAGATTTAATATTAATTTTTAGCATAGAAATGAATTTGTAAATTCAGACGTATAGTTGTTCTTTTGAAATTATTAAATCTGTAAACGGGGTAAATACTGTTTCCGCAAAACTAAAATTCAAAATGTATTCTAGTGTTCTGATTTCGTAGGAATTGATTTTGCAGGCCGCAAATGTCTTTCACAGAGACAGTTCGTCTGAAAGTATACTGGAATACTACTTATACAACTGAACCTGATGGGACTATCACGGTACAGCGGGATGCGCCGGACGGTTATCTTATCATTGATCGTATGTTAGATTTCTTTGGTATGGAGAGGTCAGGAAAAAGGTCTCGTGTGCACATTAATGATGATAATACTGTTCGGTTCATTTATCTTTGTGCTGATAAATGGCCAGAATTGTACCCTGAAAATATTGAGAGAATAGGCCACGTTTATGCAAGTACATCTGGCCAGGATATTGGTGCCAGCACTAGTAGTGGTATAACAATTGAAGACAATGAAGATGAAGATGGAGATGAAGATGAAGATAAAGATGAAGATGAAGATGAAGATGAAGATGAAGGGAGTGTCGAAAGCAGTGATGATGAGTACGTCCCATCGGATGAGGACTCAGATGACGACACTGATTTTGAGTCATCTTCTTCAGTCTCATATGTTTTCGACGACATCAGTGGATGGGACAAGACTTTAGAGAAAGTAGATTGTGATGGGATTAAAATGTGGGATGGAAATCCGTTGACGCTAGGCCTTGATGTACATTTCACCAACAAGCCTGAGGCACAGGCGGCAGTGGGAGAATGGAACTTGGTACATGGTCGGACTTTCCGGGTGAAAACGAGCTCTAAACGAACATGGTATGTCGAATACGAGACCTATGGACCCAAATATCCGAAAGAGCGTCTTCACGGCTATGATTGCCTGTGAAAGGCACGAGTTTCGCTACAGAAGGCTACCGGTACTTGGAAAATGGTGATATGGTCCGATTCCCACAACTGTCTTGGGGCAAACAAAAGAAACGAGCCCCAAAACATTACGTCTTCTATGATTGCTAGACTGGTTGCCCAAAATGTGCAAAAACATCCAGAATTTGCAGTTGCCCAAATTCAAATAGAAGTTTTGAAGAGGTACCAAGTCGAATGTAGCTACAAGAAGGCATGGCATGGTAGAAGAAAAGCACTTGAGGCTCTGCATGGTACATGGAAAAGTAATTTTCAACAACTGTCCAGCTTCCTTGATGCATTGTTCCTGTCAAACCCGGACACCTGTGTGCAATTCAAGTTTAAGGAAAATTCAGGAAGCTCGCAAAGGTTTGTATGTAGGTATGTTTTCTGGGCATTTGGGCCATCTATACAATTATTTCATGCTTGCTGGCCAGTAATAACCATCGATGCCACTCACCTGCGAGGATCCTACAAAGGAAAACTAATTGTGGCATGCGTGAAGTGCGCAAATGGCACAATTGTTCCCATCGCATTTGCTCTTGTGGACGAAGAGACCATACACAGCTGGAAATGGTTCTTGAAGTATTTGAAAAAGTTTGTTTTACAGGATAAGAAGACATGTATTATCTCTGATCGAAATCAGGGTATCCTTACTGCCATGGACATCATGTTGCAAAAATTTTCAGAGATGGGAGTCCACCGGTATTGTCTAGAGCATGTTAAAGCAAACTTGGTTGGGCATTTTCGAAAGGAGAAACTGGGAGGCAACTGTCAAATGATTGGTTCGGCGACGCAAAAGACAAGGTATTTGGCAGAGTGGCAAAAATTAGAAGAAAAAAATGACAAGGCAGCTCATTGGAATGATCGCCACGGCAGACTTGTGGGGACCGATGATGATTATGTTGGTGAGCCTACAGCAGATCCGGAGTATCTCTTGTGGTACCATCACGTTACTATAAAGTATGTTACGGATCCGACGGACTCTGAAAATACGAGGGGTTTTCACGGCTCTGCAGAGACTTTGCGCCTCATGGTGAGTATTTCGCCTACAGTCCATTATGTAATTTCTTTTCATTGTTATCGATTTATAATTCTTTCTAACAAAAATTTCAGGCCACATTGATGGAGGACGTTCGTAGTCTGAGTATTATAGGCCAGAGTACTTTCGACGCGGACTCCTTTGGTTATGATCGCTTAGGCGAGATTGCCCAGGTTGCTGAGCGGGCGTTGTCCGTCAATGCAATGAATGTCGTACGTCACGATCTCGATAGGCATGTTGAGGTTAATGACGAGTCAAGAACTTGCACCTGTAGACCCGACCCAACAACATCCACCTCCCATACCTCCGAGGCATTCGCGCAGGTGTCAGCGTGGGCGTGGGGGGCAAGAGACAATCACGCCCACTTAGCCACATCAGTCCTCCTAGCATCAGCAGTCTCATATCCCCTTCACTGACGGTTCATCCCATCAGTCTCCACACCATTCTCTACAGCATTTATCCCATCAGTCTCCACATCATTCATCCCATCAGTCTCCACATCATTCTTCGCCGACCCAACAGGCGTTTTACCGTCCCATTATGTCTCCCCAGCACCAGCAGTCCCATTTTGCCTTCACTCAGTTTTCCTCCCCTCAGACTTCTCAGCCTCAGTTTGGAGATGCTTTTATTGACTTTTCTGGGTTCCAGCAGAGTTCACTAGATGGCCAGTCGATACATTACACGAGTAACTTTCTTTCGAGTATGTTCGAGGGTGTTGCGGGTCAGCATCAGGCTAATGACCCAGCTGGAGGTGGGTGTGAGAGTCAGGGTGAAGATGAGGATGAGGATGAGGCTGAGGATGCAGACCAGGATGATCAGTTTGAGGGTCAGGGTTATCAGCGCCATGAGGAGCAGGGATCGAGTCAGACTCTAGGGACTCCACCGTTGGCTATGAGTAAAGGCCAGAGAGTGACGAAGGAGCCCGATAGATTGACTTATAGCCATTTTCGGGCTAAAAAGCCCAAGAAGAAGTAGGTTACTAGACTTTTTATGTAGTATTATTAGACTTGTATTTTTTTTTCCTTTTGTTCATTTATGTTTTTTTTTCCCTTTTGTTATGACTTGTTTTATTTTTTTTTCCCTTTTGTTATGACTTGTAGTATTTTGTTATGACTTGTATTAATATTCTTAATAGTTTGACTTCACCTGCATCGTAAATACAATAATTAATATTTATAAAACACATCTTCGCCGATCAAATCTAAACACATCTTCAAACTTTCTTATATTTTTTTAATAATTAATAGTTGCTTCATCTTTTTTTTTAAAAAAAAACAAATAGCAAAGTATTTAGTTTATCCAAACAAAAGATATAATTCTTAGCTCTTACATACCAACCGTCTATTAAAATTACCACATCTACAAAAGAATAGTACCAGATACCTAAAACAAACATTCAGTAAACTAAAGTTCTCTTCAAAATTAAGATGCGGTGCATTAAACAATCGCATTGGCAGCACTTGCAATCCTAGGCCAAAGATCATCACACTCCTTTCCAATGGGACCACTGATTACAGAACCTTTCATTTTTCGCTTGGGATTAATAATCACTCTAGCATTATCTTCAAAGTACATGTAGACACCATCCTTTCGGCGCCATGGCTTGCGCTGGCGGACAATGACTACAGGCATGACCTTCTTCCTAAGATCGGGCTTACCCTTCTTGACGGTAGCCATAACCATGTCATCGACAGAAGCAGTAGGGAGACGGTTGAGCCTACTCTTCATTCCCTTCACCGAAATGATGTAGAGGTTCTTTACCCCAGTGTTGTCGGCGCAATTCACCGTCGCAGTCACTGGAAGACCCAGAGACATCCTGAACTTGTTACATGCCGATCCTCCGCGTCCTCGCTTCGACATTTTTGCTGTCTCCCCTGTGAGGTTTCCGAAGAACAGAAAATACTTGCTTCATCTTAAGCGTTGGTAAATTATAATAAATATTTCTTAAAATTTATTCATATTTTAAGCTTTTTTCTTATATTGAAACCGTCATAATTAATATAAACAATTTGTAAATTAAATTACATCTAATTAATATAAATCCATAAAATTATGTCATTTATCTTTACTGAACATTTTTCATATCAAATTATTTTATAAAATAATTATTAATTTTTTAAAAATTTTATAAATTATAATAATTATTTCATAATTTTAAAATTTATATTTAATATAGCATTTAATTTAATGAGTATCAATTATATTATTATATTCATATTAAAATTTAATTTTCCTATTATTAAAAGTATCAATATAATTTTTCTATTATTAGTTTTCTTCTTTATAGCTCTATTCAAAATTTAATGATTATGAATTATAATTTTATAATTTTCCTTTAATTTCATTATTAAAATTTAATAATTTTTCGAAGTAAATTTGCCTACAATTTTTTAAACTATGCAAATTAATTGAATTTTTATTACAATTTCCTTTTTTTATTTAAATAAAATATTTTTTTTATTGTTTTCGCGTTTTGAAAACGCGAAAAATAATCTTTTTTATTTTTTTCGCACTTTGAAAATGCAAAACTTTATTTAATCAAATTTTTTATCATTAATTACTTACGATTAAGTTAAATTAATTAATATAACCTATGTTTAGCGTTTCTGAAACGCGAAAATCTTGTTTTAACGTTTTGAAAACGCGATTTTGCCATTTTTCGCGCTTTTGAAGCGCGAAAGAATTAGTTTTGGGGAGAATTAAAACCCTAAAACTATTTTCTTTTTCAGTAATTTTATTAGATACATATAAGTAATTTTCTCGTGAAAACATCCATCTCCATCGTGAACATGCATGATACATTTTGGAAAGTTAAATTTGTCAATCAGAAGTGTTGGCGGCCAAGAAGAGGATGGAAAGGAGTTTATGAATAGGATGAGAAGGTGAAAATGAGATGATGCTCATATAAAGATATGAACTTTTGCATTTATGGGCTATAGGTGTTAGGTTGCTGGTTAAAATAAATTTTATGCGGTAGTAACAAATTTTACCCTAGGTGAAAGAGTTCTTCTTTACTACTAATAAAAGAGTAACTATTCAATAGTCCCACGGTTATTGCAAATACTAATAAATGTTATAAAGGGCCAGTACCACATATGTACACATGCATATTCCTCTTCATTTTGCAAAAAAAAAAGAATGTTGGGCTTCTTAATTAACTGCATCTTGTTCATCAACTAATTAGTAACATGCACCAAGTTAATAGTACTATTTCTTAATTAGGCTTTATGTGGTAAATTTTTATTGAGTTTTCCTCAGATCTTATGCTCATGAAAAAACCAGAATTGATTTCAGCTACGTCTTTCTAGCTTGGTGTACGTTTCGGTTATATGCGTAATACTTCCTTTCAAGTATATACTGAACATCCAACTGTCGTCGTTTCGTAAGATTAATTACATTTAATTCCATCCTATGGAATTCTGGAGGGGCTCCTTTGTACTCAATTTTTTCTTAAAATTATTTATCAGATTAAAAAAGAAAAAAGCGCATGGACAAAATTAAAAGCAAAATCCAAATTTTACACCGCAATAAAATTCATCTACTGTTCCAATTTCAAAAAAACACCGCAAATGGTGTGAATAGTTGATTTAACGGGGCTGAAAGCGAAATACTGGAGAAGGAATTAAACCAGTACTGCAGCTACATCATGGTGCGATACACTGAGCGTTACTGCAAGAATCGGTGGTTGCTTCTTAACTGATGGAACACATCTCATGTGTCAGGCTAGATACAATAGCAAGGAATTCTAGATAGCTAGTTTAAGCACTCAACTCTATTTATCCTCCAACAGCTCGAATGTATATTATCCCTGTTGAAGAAGATGAAAAGAAGACATTTAAGTAACTATTAATATATAAATAAAAAAAATAGAAAAGAAAAGAAGGTTAAGGAAAGAGTGGTACAAATTCATATAACCTACTGACGATGAATCTCTCCTCCATAGTGCAGTTACTACTGGTAGCTTGCACAACCAAAAAAAAACCATACATAGGCCAAGAAGAGTACTATGAAAGGAAGAAGGAATTCAAAGGTTTGTAGTGAAATGTTTAAAAGGCAGAATGAGTTTATAAAAGGAATACCAGAGATTCATAAAGATCGGGCTTGAATTTAAGGTGGTAGTTGTTAGGTTGATGATGATAATAAGTATATATTATATATTTATAGAGCAATCAAATCTGTGTTTCCCATGAGTAACTTTAAATTTAATACTACTGCATTATCTAACTTTCTACGTTCATGGAAGAGTTCAGCTCTCCATATCTTTATCGGTTGGCCACAAAAAGCGGTTTAGAGATACTTCTTGAGCTAGAGATTATTGAGAATTCCAGTCCCACATTGGTGCTCGGAGATTGAATATCAATATGAAAGTATATGAGTTATTTTTCTCATTGTTAATTTGTTTTGAGGTGCAACTCCATGTGCTTCTCTTAATGTATATTGATACCATTTTAAAATACCATTATAAAACATAAAGAAATTATTATATAGGGGTTTCATTTTAGCTACGATTATCTAAGGAAAACATAAGTAAATTATTATATAGGGGTTTCATTTCATCATACTTCTGTTACAGAAATTGGGAATCCCAATTGCTCCAGATTCACTCAGACAAGGTTGGCCGTATTTGTAAGACATAAATCCAACTAAATTTTAATTTTAATTTGTGTTATTTACAAATAAGTTTGAATTGCATATAACGTTTGGCACCATATATAAGCAAAATAATCGTACACACTATCTACCGAACCAATCAAGAAAATTAAAGATTTGCAGAAAAAGCTCAAGCAAAATTATGGAAGTTTCTAGAATATACATTACTTCTTTTAGCTGGGTTAATATTTTTTTAATGGCTTAGATACGGATAGATTAATACATCATGGTATATGTGTCACTTGTAGTACATCATGTTTCAACTAGTATAATTAATATTGAGTACTAGATTTTCTAACCAATATATTGAGTAGTGAGGTCATATAATCAACTACGAAGTTGGTTTCATGAAACACATGAATGATACTTCAAGCTGGGCATTATTTTATTCTTTTTAATGAACGTTAATAATAGAACCACTAATAGCTATGGTTAATCCTCCATTATATATATGACTGCGTATACTTCAAACTAATGAATTGTGGAATTACTTTGTCGTCATGAAGGATCAATTTGTTATAATTTAAATGTAAAACATGTCAAATGAACAGAAATGGAGTTCGCGATGGCTTTCTCTGTTTCCGATTTTGTTCACTTTGCTTTCACATCTGGTTAAACCACGACAATGGCTAGCAACATTGACCAATTTTACATATATCGATTTTGTATTTACTCCAATAGGACCACAAATGAACACTATGGTTTTTTAAACTCCATGATGATGAGCAATTTACCCAATGATCAATTTTTGCAACAACAAGTGCATCTAAAACATATATCCAAGTCATGTAAAATACTCTCAAACCCTTTCGTATAATCTTCAATGGGTTGAGAAATTTAAATTTAGTGATTTTTTGTACAATGGCTAGCTTCAAATCCTGCCCGTTATCAGTAATTAAGACCACTAATCAATTCAAAAGAAATAAGCCGGGCTTCTTAAGTCCCTTCGTGTTACATATAACAATGTTCGATGGTTTGAATGTTGTTCAGTTCACCTCAAAATCAAGAACTATAGTTTCTTTATATCCTAACAAGACTTCAAAGTTGAAGTTATGAACATTAATCAGACTCTCCGACACAACTTAATTAGCTTTGAGGGAAAACTTACAATGACTGTGATTCTTAATTGCTCCGAATGCAGTATAATCAAGAGGGGTAATAATACTAGGAGCTATGAGTCAAATGATAATTTCTTCGGAGAGAAAAGCCAGAGTGAACCACAAAGAAATCTATCTACCCCGGATTGCTTGTTTGCAGACATCCTTATGGGAGCTGATAAACCCTTGATGCCGGTTGCTGCGGAGAACATAAATCGACATAATAGC